ATTAATAAATTTATTTTCTTTCTAGTTCCAAACCATTTCAAAGTATGCCGAGAAGTTATAAATATTGTACTTGTGAACCAACCCCCTACAGTGAAATAGACACAATGAGAAAATAATAGATCACATAATTTTCCAAAAAGAAAATAGTCCTTACCTACTCTTTCATTCAGTACTCAATTTGTTCATTAAAATTTTATTATTTTTTTAATAATCATTTGAACCTTAATAATAAAATGTTATATGACTCCTTAATTCGATATATTAATGTTTTGAAAGAATTGTTCGACTCGATAAAGTAAATAAAAAATGATTTATTTTCTCGGTATTGGTTGATTCATAAACCTTGTTATATTGGCATCAACTAGAATTAATCGAATCTTGGGATTTATTGTCTTTTAATTCATCTAAAAATGTAAATATATTGAATTATATGAATCATTAAATTTTAATAATAATTGCATAAACATAAACATCAATAATGTCACTAATTAGGAACTTCACTAATATGTTTACTTTAATTATAGTTATGCAGTTTGAAAATATATGTAATTATATTAGGCAAATAAATTAATTCAACTAGAAAACTATATTAACTTACAAAATTCTCTTCCTAACTTAAAAAGAAAAATCTTAATAAAACAACATTTGACACAGTTAAACTCTTAAGTATATGACAATTATTTATATCATAATATAAATTTGAGTAAAAATTAAACAAAAATGGTGGTAAGGAAATTAATTAAGACGACAATAATATTAAAAATGGCAAAAAAGTATAAGTACAGTAAGGCATCTTCAACAAATACCCAAGATCGCCCATGGTTTTCCAAAAGCAAAATTACAAAAAAAAAAAAAAAAAAAAAGAATATTTAATTAAACAAACACCCAAAAATTGCCCACAGCCCACATTTCCTAATTAACTAGTTCTAATTATGATTAAAAGAAATTAATAAAGTATAAAAAAAAAAAGATTTGCTAATGAGAATGCAATATTTACAGGAGTCAATGGTTTCACCGCCTATGATGACAAGTCAGTCAGTACCTAACTTCCTGCTTTATGTCTCTTTCAAAACAAGAAAGTGTTCTCATTGGCCGCCGAAGCATTTCTAGAAGTAGGAACCTGAGTGGAAACTACCTCCATCACCAACCCATCAGACACCACCATCTCCATCCCCGCCCTCTGGTTCTGATTAGGGTTTGGGATAGTTCCCCCGCCTCCCAGTCTTTGCAGAAATAAATCCTCACTACCACCTCCAAGGTTATTATTATTATTATTAGTATTACTATTACTGCCAACCGAGAACATGTATGCCTGGCTATGGTGATGTTGTTGTTGTTGTTGTTGTAGTTGATATGGGTACTGTAGTTGTAAATGATAGCCTGCACTACCACCAGGAGGAGGTGCCGTTATTGAAGCTGCACTCGGATTTCCGATATGAGTTTGAAGGGTCGTACGTGGTGCCATCCCGAAGCTGAAGCCTGGTCCGCCTGAAGCGAAAGGCGCGCTAGGTCCGCCAGTGAACTGCTGCACCATGGCTCGGAAGTTGGTGGTGTCGGTGTTGAGGAGGGTGGTGGGAGTTCGGCGTGAGGCTCTCGTGCGTCTGCGCATAGGGCGGGACACGCGGCCTTCAGGTCTCAGATGGGGGCTGCTAGAGGTGGTGGAAGAGTTCGAAGGACCGGAGCCTTGTGGGCTGGGTAAACTGGATGAAGTGACGGTGGTGGTAACGGCGGTGGCATCAGAGACTCGGTCGCCGAACATCATCCCTGATGCGAGGCGACCGGGTTGAGTGGTGGAAAAGTTTTGTAGTTGGTAAAACTGAGCCGCCCAGTCGTTAGGATTCGACATTGTTTTGCTCATGGCCCGCAAGAGAAGAAAGATGACTCGCTGATACGGAACCAGAACGAAGAGAGGAAGAAAAAGCTAATTGTACATATTACTCTGTGTAAGAGTTTAGGTAAGAAGGGAAGAAGGGGAGGTTAGGCTTTTATGGTATTTATGGAGGCTATCGCCGTGGTCAAAGGAAGACCAGCAAGTGAAATCGTGACCGTTGATATGGAGATCAGGTCTATTCAAAGGCTATGACACGTGAATTCGCACGTGGTTTTGTATGGCTTCTGGAAGACTAAAATCCTGCTCCCTTTGAAGGGCATATCTGAATTGGAGAAGGGTGGGGGTTTGGCTAACGTCACGGGGGGGTTGAGATGGATTGGAGTGTGTAGAAAGGGCTTGGATTCCTGGAAGCACCGTGACTTTAGCATATGATGATCCCAATAGTTACGTCAGCCATGACCGTCAGCTGACTTGGGAGTCTTCTATACCAAAAGATGGTTCATCGTCTTAGGAAACACCCGAGTCCCTTCCCACGTCTCACCCTGCCTGCAACAAGATACGACGCAGTTTCATTCAAACTGTATTCATCATTTATTAAAGAATAAATTAATTCTGTATAACTTTTTTTTTTTCTAGAGAATTTTACTAACCAACTTTATTGTTCAACTGTATCTCCTTAGTTATATTTTAAGGGAAAACTCAATTTTTATATAAAAATCATGAATTTGATTTGATTTAAGCGGACCAGAGTCGAATCTAAATATAATTTTTTTTTAATTAATCTTTTAATTCAACCGAATGGCGGGATATGTCATGGACAACTTCAAATTTAATATATTAGTCCAAATGAATAAGATTGGTATATTAATTATTTTTATCTTTTAAACTATGTGATTAATATTTTAATTATTTTTTAATGATTATGATTATTGTTATTTTATTATAAAAATAATATATTTATATATTTATTTTTTTCGTACATGACCTTTGTTCGAATACCATAATTCATGTCAAATTACATCCAAAATTGGTTAAATTTAGTACAAACTAAATAGAACGAGTTTTTAGATTACGATGAAATTACTCAAACTTGTTATTGTTTAATTTATTATTATTATTTTTATTTTTATTTTTTATTTTTTAAAAAATATTCAAATTTATCATGATTTTTTAATAGAAAATTGGTAGATTTAATCATATTTTGACATAAAAATAATTAAAAAATTTAACTATTTAAATTGAATTAATAAATTAATAAAAATGTTTAAAATATTCATTAATTTATTAATTAGTAAAAATTATTTTTAATTTAGAATTTAAAATATCTGAACATAACACACAACATAATTATTTTACTTTTTTTGTTAAAAAATAAAAAATTTAGCAGTTAAAAATAAAATAAAAAATATTGACAAATGAAATTATAATAAAAAAAATTAACAACTAATTTATAAATATAATTTTAAAAATTAATTTAATATTTTACCTAAATCTTACTGATCCATCATATGAAGACTGCCAAACATTTCTTCGTTGACTTTTAAGACTTGGGGCAAGCCGTAAGCACACAACCCAAATCGAGTAGGCTTAAGTGAGCCGACAAGTAGCCGCACATTTTGCCACTTACAAATATTCATGTCTTTTTTTTTTTTTTTTTTAAATTAAAGTTATTAACTCTTACAATAACTTCTAAAAATTGTTCATCTCAATTTTCATTAATTAACATTCAGCTTAAATTTGATTTTAACTATAAACAAAAATTAAATATGTTAAAACATTAATATTTTAACATTATTAATGACTTCCAAGAAATTGGAAACAATTGCCTAAAGTTTATAATCACAAAATTTAAAATAAAATATAATATTTTACGTATGAATTTAGTTAGATTCGTTTAAATATAATTAGATACAATTTTTTTTTGTTAAAGGGCAAGTCCTATTCAAATAAATTCATATTACTATTTTAAGTTCATTCAAATTTAACTTATTATATATTTGTATATATATATATTAAATTATTATTATAAATAAATATAAGATATTATAATAATGTATATCAATTATATTTTTTATTATATATCGTAATAAAAATTTTAATTTTTTTTATATAAATATAATATAATAAAATAACTGAATTGAGTTCATGTTAAATAATTAATATAATTTAAAAATATAAGAAAGATTTAAGTCCGCTCATAATTTAGCATAAATTTAACTTTATTTTTTATTGATGTGGATTAAATTTTGATTTGGTAAAACTCATATTAATTTATCTTCTCATTAAATTTAAATTTTATTTTTGGTGCTATTAATGAAGAACCTAAAGATTTATTATTTTATATTACAATAATTTTAAAAAAATAAAATAAAAACTTTCGTAGGAAAAGAAAGGTGTGCATTTATACCTCGTGATACCATGATAATGTTTGCTTTAACAATTAAATATACGTACCATTTGCTGTATCTCATTTTTCTCCTCCAAATTTCCTTTTAAACTTAAACAGGTAGAAGGCGAAACAGACAAACCAACGAAATTTGCAAATGGAGACCACATGTCATTTAGCATGCCTCACCTTTTCAAATGCTTAGAGCTCCAATTACTGCCTTGAGTCGGTCCCTCACATGGTAATGGGAGTCTTGGAGATGGATTCCGTCGGGGTTGCTGCATAAAATATGGAAACCGCTGACGGCAACCGGGCCTTCGGTTCTTAGTTCTTCCCTCTTGGTTCGGTCACTGAACGCGAAATATCGAAACTCAGCGAAAATGGCAACTGCCATCTCCCTCTTACAGCTTCCCTCAACTTCTGGCCACCGGTATTTGCAGAAGGATTTTGCGGTCGTAGAATTCTCTTCCTTAACACCTCCAGGCACTGATGGCGCTATTTCGCAACTGAATTCTAAGCGAAGACGACGGTCTGCTCGTATTTCTATCAGGTACTTTTTCTTCTCCATTTACTGTTTCTTTTCTAGATTTTATTACTGTTTCTTTGGTTTCTGGCTGGTCACTGTTACAGTTTCTGTTCACTATTTGAAAATTTGAGACTGAACTTGTATATCTTCATGGTTTTTTTGGTTGCTGAGTAAGTTTATAAAATACTGAGAAAGAAGAAGTTGAAACTTCTTCATTTAATATCAATTTGGAAATGGATAGAGATCTAAATATGTAAATAAACCATGAATCTTACTCTTCTGTTTTATTAGAACCCGGTTTGGTTTGCTGAACTTTACATGTAAATGCAAACATGTATAATTTGGATTTTCACCGGAGAAATTTTGCTGATGATAGATGCCAATCCACTAAAACTAAGGAACCTAAAACAAGAAATCTCTTAGACAATGCAAGTAATCTTCTCACCAATCTGTTAAGTGGGGGAAATCTAGGCTCCATGCCCATAGCTGAAGGCGCAGTCACTGATTTGTTTGACCGGCCGCTCTTCTTCTCACTGTATGATTGGTTTATACAGGTATTTATTTACAATAACCGTTCACAGATTCTTTTTATTTTTTTGTTAGGAAGGTTTTTGCAGATTTGTTTGTTGAACTTTAATTGGTACTCTGAGAACTCTGGGCCCTGTTTACTTGTTTTTTGGAGTTTTCACTCTGTAAATTCTTATATTTTTGTACACAAAAATGTATATAGTTGTTAAAAATGAAAAAAAAAATGATCTGGAAAATTAAATATGTCATGGTTTGGAGAAAATTGATATTATTGTTTTCAACTTATACATATTTTCACAATCCTTTTCCAAATTATGTTCTTGTTTTCAGCAACTATCATATTTTTATGTGGAAACATATCAAAATTCAGAAAGTGAAATTCAAAATGTTTTTCTATAACTAAACAGGGCCTTGATATCTGTCATGATATTGTCTTGTGGCCTGGAAAAGTTTTACTGCTAATTTGATATCCTAGAGAAGCAGAACATGGAAATAGATGGTGACACAGAGTTGAATAAAACTTTTTGAGTGGCATTTATTAGGTTGGTTTCAAAATGCACCAGCTACGTGGGACCTTATTGACAAGTCTTTGCTTTCTCTTTCTGCATTATGTACTTTCTTGTTGAAATTTTCACTGGTGATGTTTGTGAGCTGACTGCGCCCAAGGCTTATTTTCAATTTACTTGACTAATATTCATGAACTGTGCAGCATGGTTCGGTCTACAAACTTGCCTTTGGGCCAAAGTCATTTGTTGTCGTGTCGGACCCCATTGTTGCAAGGCATATTTTTCGTGAGAACTTGTTTTCTTATGACAAGGTATTGTCTTATGCATTATGTATTGGCGATTGGAATTATACAAGGCGTTGTTTGTGACTCACTGATTCTAATGTGATAAACTTGAAGATAATTGCCTCATAAAATAGTTGGACTTCTTTCTGTGATTTCACTGTATGTTTGATCATTCTTCTTTTAACCGGATGAACTACAGAAGAAAAGAGCTTATGAGAGGAAATTTGTTGCATGATGTATAAATCCACCCTTTTGAGATTTTCCTTTTTCTCCATTTGACTTTCACTCTATGGTTTCAAATATTATTTCACTGTTTATAATGTTAAGATAAAAAAGTATCTTTACTCAAAAGATTTTTCTACAACTAAACAGGACCTTGTTAATTAAATTATTAGCATGGATTGTTCTGACTCAGAGTCTTATTTCTAGTTTAATTTTTCCATATTGCTTTGTCCATTCACCCAAATTACTGTATCCTAATCAGGGAGTTCTAGCAGATATCCTAGAACCAATTATGGGGAAAGGACTTATACCTGCTGACATTGACACATGGAAGCAAAGGAGAAGAGGTGAGCAATTTATAATTATGAACATTTGCCTCTGCAGTTGAGCTTCCAACTAAGACTCAAGATGAGTCTTTTTTTATGGATATTTTGGTTTATGACCTTTTGTAAATGGGTGGTACTCCCTTTGTTTCTTTAACATTTTTCCCTTTTTATCTTGAAAAACCCATTCTTACTGATAGGTTTTGTATGTAATGCTATTGTATTCCTAAGCAGCCATTGTGCTTGTAAAATCTAATGCTGTCTGGTTCATTACTTATTCTTCAGCATGATTAAATGAAAATATTATATTTCTTGCTCATTACTGTCATTTAGCTTGGGCAATTGTTTTGTGTGTGTGGAGGAGGAGACTGTAGCAGTTATATTCATGACATTGTAGCATGGCATTGTTCACATTAATTTTTTCTTTTTTAATGAACTCTTTAGCTTATTTCTCAATTAACAATTGCCATTCATATCATATGTCCAGCTCATTTCCCTGGTTATACTTCTTCTGAGCAAGAAAGTGTATTGGGTCAGTAGATCTAAAGGCACCATCTAAAGAACATAAATAGAATCAGAAGGAAGGATCTTGAGCATTTTGTTTCCTAGACTAATACCAAATAGTTGTACTAACTCTTAACCTAGTTTGTGGTTTCTCTCTCTGCTAGCTTTTAGATTTTTAACATTATTTACGAAGAAGGGTTTGTTTTGATTATTGAGCTACTTGTCTTAATCTGTCTTTAAAATATGCAGTTATTGCTCCTGGGTTCCATGCGTTATACTTGGAAGCCATGGTCAAAGTATTTACAGATTGTTCAGAAAGAACAATGTTGAAATTTGAGAAACTATTGGTTGCACAAAGTTTGCGTGGAGGGAAGGAAATTGAGTTGGATTTGGAAGCAGAGTTTTCAAGTCTGGCTCTTGATATTATTGGGCTTGGTGTCTTCAACTATGACTTTGGTTCTGTTACGAAAGAGTCTCCTGTTATTAAGGTTTGATGATGCAATACATGATAGGATAGTTCTGCCGTGATTTTCTTTGAAGTTACATTGTTGATAATTTCTCTGTGGTGTTGGTGATTTTGTATATTCCCAGTTAGGAAAACTTGGAAATATAGAATCCTTAAATCTTTTCATTTGGAATTTTATGTCTTGGTTGTAAATCCTGTGCCACATTCATCTTGCTTGTGTATTCATTCAGGTATTTAGAATGATATCATCCTTGAAGATGCTAGATGTCAAAAGCATGAGGATGGCACCATTTTCAAAAGCAGAAAAGGAAAGCAAACCACCAAAGCTAAAAAAACTAGCATTTCCTATAATAGGGGAAGAGGTGTTGGTGCATTAAAACTCACATATATATTGGACCTGTGACTGGTTCAGATGATTGAATACTGTAACAGTGTTTGCTATGTTTTCTTGAATATTTTAGTATCTAAGCAATGTACTTCAAAACTGTACATGAATTAAATTTTAGCTTGACCGCAACCTGTCCAATCTAAGATATAGCAGCTTTACATTGATTGAACTAACTTTGAAAACTCAGATTTCTCTTCTTCTTTGTTATCTTTCGAAATATTTTACAGGCAGTTTATGGTACACTTTTTGAAGCTGAGCATAGATCCACTTTCTACATCCCTTATTGGAAATTTCCTCTTGCAAGGTGGATAGTTCCCAGGCAAAGGAAGTTCCAGAATGACCTGAAGGTTATTAACAACTGTCTTGATGGACTCATCAGAAATGCAAAAGAGACGAGACAGGTTAGAGAAGTCTTTTCAAAACAATCAATCATGTAAAAATAATGACTGGGATTTCCTTTTGTCTTATTCTGGAATTTCACTCTCATTCCTAGAAACCACACAATATTAAATCTTGTTTACCAATGGAGCTGATTTTGGGAATTTAATTGAGTTGGACAGTTAATTATTCTCATAAATGAACCAACTGTTGCTGAAATATTACCAAAATCTGGTGATACATTGGGGTGAATTTGGTTATTGGATGCTTGGTGGCAATATTTTCTTATTTTGGTGCTGAAATATTTCGAAGATTGTGGCGAAACAACTAGATATGATAATTCTTTTACGACCATGAAACATAGGGAGAATGTTGCGACAGGTTTTTGTTCTCTTGATTTGCAAATTGGACATGGGAGAACAAACAGAATGTAAGTGACTTTTATCGATTACTTGTACCAAGAAGAGAAGAAAAATTAACAAATATTTAATGCTATTAGATGACTGGAATCAAGAAGACCAAAAAGCAGTGCTGTTATTACTGGATCTCAGAATTGGTTAACCTTGAAAAGGCTGTTTTGTCCAGGAAATTAATAAAATTCTTCCATCATGTTTTCATCTTGTCTGGGTCAGTGACCGCTGCGATTTCCTATAGATTGATTACTCGTTTACTTTAGTGCAGGTTCTTCTTAATGACCTTTCCTTTGAGCACGTAAATTAAGAAAATACATAACTGATATCTAGATCTCAATTTTGGTTGATGTTATGCCACAGGAAACAGATGTCGAAAAACTTCAACAGAGGGACTATTCAAATCTCAAGGTGGGTGTTTTTCCCTGTCATTAATATCCAACAAGTTGCTATTCTTTACAGATTCCACAAACTTGCACTAAAAATCTATTAAAACAATTCTGTATTTCTTGAACTGTAACTATAAAATTTGCAGGATGCTAGTCTCTTGCGATTTTTAGTTGATATGCGGGGAGCTGATGTTGATGACTCTCAGGTAATTGCTGAATCGAGGTTCAAACCGTTAATCAAAATTTTCAATTTTTTTTTTCATTGAGAAATCCAAATTGAATCAATTTTTTTTTTTTCATTGAGAAATCCGAATTGAATAGACTCATAAAATTTGAAGCATAGTTCATTCTACATATAATTTTTAAAGAAAAATATTGAAAATTAAAATATCTCAAGAAATTTATAATGTTATTATAAATAACTGGATAATACTTATTCGCAATATATTTGTGTAAATATTTTTTATATAATTAAATGAAAGTAAATTATTTAAATATTTGATTGATTTAGTTTTAACTAGATTCACAAAAATATTGAATTGAATCATGCAATTTACAAGCGATTTTTAAAATTCACTTATTGTTCATGATAGATTATAATTTATCAATAAGAGTCGAATCGTTTTGTTATTGAATCGTATTGAACCGTAAGATTTGAGTCGTGAATCATAAGGTTCTATTAACAGTGTTTCCAAAAATTGTTACATTGTGCTTTTATTTTTTTTCTCTAAAATGCCAATTAATTGACTTGATTTGGTAGAAAGATGCAGTTCTCCTACCACAGAGTCCAGGTTATGTGAACCAGAATAGTCTACAGTATACTATTAGAATGGGTTTTCTCTCAGTGGTTTTATATGCTTATCTTCTAGTAGACCTGTCAAATGTCAGGTTTGTTAAAATTTCTATTTTGTGTAGGCAGTAAATCCTCAGTTGAAAAAAGGGCTCAAACCTGTTTCTAGGCAACTATTTTTTTATGCATTTTTGTATCAATTTTGCATGAAAATTGAAATTGTTGGTCAAAAAGTCTCTTGAGTTCTGGATTCCAGTCAACTTATTTATTTATTTGTTTATTTTAACAGCTAAGAGATGACTTGATGACCATGCTAATTGCTGGCCATGAAACAACAGCAGCTGTTCTTACCTGGGCTGTTTTCCTTCTTGCACAAGTACGCATTTCTCTTACAAAATTTATGTTCAAATCTACTATTTTAATGTGAAATTTTCTTTTTTGTTTGTATTCATCAATAATCTCAATCTTTTCCTTATGAATTTGTGATACTGCTCAAATACAGAATCCCTCCAAAATTAGAAAGGCGCAAGCAGAGATTGATTCTTTGCTAGGCAAGGGGAGGCCAAGTTTTGAATCTATTAAAAAACTAGAGTATGTTTTCAAGTCTACTCTAATCTATTTGTTTTATTCTTTTGGAACTATGAGAGAAACTTGTTTCTTGGCTGTGAATCTAAATACATTAGAATAAGTTTGATCTATCATTAAGTTGAGGTCTCACCTGATATGCTCCATAGCAACTCGTTAGCAAGTGGGAATTGCTCTTTCTTATTTCCTTCCAAGTTTGTTTTTTGCACAATTGTTTTTTTTAAATGAAATGTGAGATTTTGATAGTCAAATGGGAAAACATCTTGAATGTATCAAATAATTTTTTTTTTTGAGATAAAAAGATTGTATATCAAATATATGGCACCAAGAGGGTACTATCTATGTATAAAATATTTACGTCTCAATTAGAACATTAATAACCTTTCCAAAATCATTCCACCCATATAAGTCGTGTTCTAGAATAAAAGACCTAAAAATATGTGTTCACCTATCTTTAATTCTAACTATTTCCCCTACACACCCTTGAAACGCTCTGTTGTTTCTTTCTTTCCACAGTATCCAAAAAATAATTGAAGGAAAAAGTTTTATAATTTTCGCCTTTTTACAAATCCCACCCCAAGCCCAAAGTTCATCCCTAATTTTACCTGCAATAACCTAGTTGATACCCAACAGTCCGTTAACAATAGTCCAAATATTATACACCACCGGGCACCAAAGAAGGATATGATTACAAGATTTTGTCGTTTTCTTACACATGTAGCAATCATTAACCATGGATTTGCCTATTCTCATCAAGTTGTCAATGGTAAGGATACATTCCTGACCCGCTTCCCATGCAAAAAAAGCAATTCTGGGTGGTGCCTTCACTTTCCAAATCTGTTGAGCTGGAAATCTAACACCATCGTCCCTCTTCACCAGGTGAACATAGAATGATTTGACAGTGAACATCCCATCTTTTTTCAGTTTGCACAACACTATATCCTTATTGTCACTCAGATGAACATTAGACATCAGCTGGAGCAGTTGAATTTATCAAATAATAATAATATGTACATTCAACAGAATGAAGAGCATGGCACACAACTGTCTTCTAGTGTTATGAGTTGGCCATACATTTACTTTTTCAAAGTTCAGTGCCACTCCACAAACATTTAGCGAAAATTAGCTGGTCTATGTCATTCGTGATTAGTGTCTTTCTCCAGCTAGTTGTCAATTGCGATGTTTAAATGCTAGGAAATACCGTGTTTTCCTGTCACCTGTCTTACATTATTTTCCACCTTCTTCTAGTCATTTTAATGCATTTAAGTTGAGTCTGATCACTCCTCTGAAAGGAAATTTTTATCTTGGTTACATTATTCCAAATGCTGTTCTACTTTCATGTTTGTCTCGTTCACACTTTCAGGTACATAAGACTTATTGTTGTGGAGGCTCTTCGTTTGTATCCTCAGCCACCACTGCTTATCAGACGTTCCCTCAAGGCAGATGTATTACCAGGTAAAAAAACATCAAATAAATATAATTAGTTCCTTAATAGATTGATGGAATTCTTCCAAAATAAACTTTCAAAGAGTCATATGTTTATATCACGACATCAACTAGAGCTGGCTGAGAAGGTCAACTATTTATGGAAAACTGGACTAACTAATGAGGCATGGAAGAAACGAAAATTAGCATATTGGCCATACAAGACTGGCTCAAATTTTACGTATGGCACACTTAACTACTTTTTCTCCACGGTTGAACATATTTCAACACTTGTCTGTCTTAGTTTTCTGGTCAAGAACTTAGCCTTTTGCTTTTTTAAAAAGATATGATTGCAGCTTATACAGTAAGTAGAGCATAATCCACTTGGAGCTCATAAGCCTATTCCATCGCTTGGCAAATACCTCTCATTAAAAAAGAGATGGAAACAACTTTCTTCAACAAATTCATCAAATTATTTAGTGACTAAAAATCTTCAAGTGTTTTAGCCACTCGCATCCTCTGTAGAGAGATCAAGAGGAAGAGAGTCGGACAAGATGCTGCCTGGTCATGATCTCGGGTTAATGACAAGGGTTCTACAAGATCTAGTGACTGAAATTAGTGCCAGATTTCTCTTTTTTGTTTTCTTTTTTTCCCATTTTAAGTGAAAAACTAAATCCTAGAAAAACAAAAGTACTGATATTATTATGTAACAACTAGATCTTTAGGACTCATATTTTGTGTTAATGATTAATAGCGTAATTCATTAAGCATATAGAGGTACACACTTTAGCTGGTGAGTTTATTTCGCAGGAGGATACACAGGTGATAGAGATGGCTATACAATTCCTGCTGGAACAGATATTTTTATTTCTGTAAGTTGTGGCATATGTCATTCTCTCTCTCCTTTTTTTTTGCATCTATTAGGAATATTATCATTCGAAGCCCTGAACAAAATAATGCATAAGTCTGAAATTCAATCTTGCTTCTGAGGGGATGATTTATGTTTAACAAATTTGCTCTCTCTATTTTGCCATAATTTTTGTTTAAAAAATTGTTCATTCAGGTATATAATCTCCATAGATCTCCTTACTTTTGGGATCAGCCCCACAAATTTGAGCCAGAGAGGTTTCTAGTGCCAAAAGAGAGTGAAGGGATTGAAGGATGGGCAGGTTTTGATCCAACTCGAAGCCCTGGTGCATTATACCCGAATGAGGTAAAAATTTGAATTGCTAAACGTGGTCAAGCATAATTTTACTGCTTTTGCTGTTTCTCTTTCCTTTTCAAAAATATATCAAGTTGATTGTTGTATTTTCATCAGATAATGTCAGATTTTGCCTTTTTACCATTTGGTGGTGGACCGAGAAAATGCGTTGGCGACCAATTTGCACTCATGGAGTCAACAGTGGCATTGGCTATGATATTACAGAAGTTCGATGTGCAGCTGAAAGGGACTCCAGAATCTGTGGAACTGGTTACAGGGGCAACAATTCATACAAAGAATGGAATGTGGTGCAAATTGAGGAAGAGATCTGATGCTCACTGATACATATATATATATATATGTATATATATAATTTTACAAGAGAGGTAATGATGGAATGATGCAATGGTAGTTAACTAAAAATCAGAGCCCGTCCAGGTTGTTGGCAGAGCTCAGGCCTCATGTATACTTTGTCAATGTGTGATATCCTGAGACTGGAAGACTTTCCGCTCCTATTATTTCCAAAAGAGGTAGTAAATGTTATTGAAGGGCAAGATGAAATTGGGTTGAGTTACTGAATAATGAAAAATGAAGGCAAAGAATGAAGATAACCAAATAAGTTAGTGCAGTTTGATTTAGGTTATTTCTTTTTAACTTGAAAGTACTAAGATTTATAAATTTTTTGAAGTTTATAAATTATTAAATAAATAAAAATTGTACTTTGTTTTTATATTTTTTTGTTTACAAATGATTGAAAATATGTAGAAATTGCACTTTGTCTTTATGTTAATTTTTTTTTTGTTTAATTTATAAGTTTATAATCAATTGCAAGTATTTAGTAAAAAAAAAAACTTGAGATGTAAAAAGTTAAGGAAATTACAAAAAATAACAGGAATAAAATTTGATAATTTTAAATAAGAGTAATTTAGTAAAAAAGATTTAAAGACACTAATTTTTTTTTTGCAACACATAAATTAAGAGGAAAAATATACTTTTATATGTTTCTTAAACTAAATAAGCTATTAACTTAATAAAGTCAAAGTAATTAATATTTGATAAAATTAACAAAAGAAAAACATATGCTCTATTTACATCATTAAATAACGCAAAAGAAATAATTAACTAAGACGTTATATTTTTTAAATAAGTCTAAGTTTACAATATCAATTATAAACGTTAGTATTCTTAGGGTCATATCATAAAACCTTAGAAACTGTTATTTTATAGTACTAAATTTTAGTCAAGTAAAATGCTATTGTTCATGATTAAAAAAAAAAACTGGTGATTTTATATAAAGTAACAAAAAACTAAACTATTATGACTGAATTATCAACAAAAGAATCTGTGTTGATTGCGATAAAATCAACTCTAAGAGATGAAACTGTAATTTACACTTGAATTAAAAGAAAACAAAGAATCGTCTATCCTCATCATCAAGACAAAGTCTCAATGGGAGGAAATTTCACCGGAGTTACATGAGAAAAATGCAGAACCGAAGAAAAGATGCACATGAACATACAAGACATCAAGCTTTTTTACATTTGAAGGCAAGCAAACAAGAAGTTACATTTAGCTTTATTGTGAAAGAAATTCACAGGTGCCAGTGTTCTTGCTATCTAGATTGCTGCTTATTGTGGAGATGCTTTGTCAACGTGCTGTGAAACTGAGTAGAGTCCACTGATTGCTCCTGTGGTAATAATACTAAACTAATAACTATGTATCCCGAAAAAAAAAAAAACGAGGATAAAATATCATCAAATATTCAAAATGTGAATTATACCAGATCTTGCAAACTCTCTTGAACATTGAAACAACCAGGCATGGCTGATGATCTAAAACCAAGTTGGACTTGCAACTACAAAATCCAATCCTTCAGTAATTTCATATCTAAAACCGAAGTGATTCACAAACGAAAAGAGTAAAAATATGAGGAAGATAAAAAGAAATACTGAATA